CTGCTTGTGACTTGGAAGTCTAAACCCCCTACAGAAAAGATTAAATTTAAACCCCCGTCTTCACATCTTTCTTCACTATATTATTTTAAAATGCATTTCTAATTTTCAAAAGAAAAAGAGAAAAGAGAGATTAAAAACAGTTCTTTTTTGTCCAACGCCTGTTTAGGATTTGGTGATTTTGTCCTTAGGTTTGATGTAGTAAAGGTTTTGGTAGTATTGTAGAGGTTTGCCTTGTCTTTTCTTCAATGTTATACATTTGTTTTTAGAAAATTAAGATTTAGTGTCTGTCAGTTAAACAGGAATGACTAAAGATTTAAAGCACTAATGTAAACAATGTCAAAACTTTTCAAAATTAAAGTGCTTTTAGTTTTATCGATTACACTCACCGATTGTGTCCCTTTGTGTTTCAGCTGATAAGCGCACTGAAGACCATATCTTTATTTGAGATTAAACTAGTAGACTACAAATATAGGTAAGTAATGCCATTTTGCTGCAAAACTACATTAAAAACTTTAAAATTTAAAGTCCTGTGTTCAAAATCTTTTCAAATATTCACTTAAAGACATTTTTTTATTTAATTGACAGTTATCTTAGTCATATCTACCCAATGAGGGTAGCGCAGTGGCACAGTGGTTAACCTGCTGCCTTGCAGCTCTGGGGCTCTGGGGTCAGTACTGGAACTGGGGTGCTATCTGCATAGAGTTTGAATGTTCTTCTCATGTTCACCTGGGTTTCCTGCTCTAGTGAGTTAACTGGTGGGATAATTGGCTTTTGGGAAAATGGGCCCTGGTATAAGTGTGTGTCTATGTCTATGTATGGTGATGCACTGGTGTCCCATCCAGTATGTAGCCCGCCCTGGGCCTGTTGCTTTCTGGGATAGGCTCTGGTTCTCCTGCGACTTCTAATAAATTGTGAGAAGTGCCACCCTGTACCAGAGGTTCAGTGCCTATTGGAGGACAGGCTCAGCCTTCACTGGCAGCTCCAAATGCCTGTAGGCTTCCAGGAGGCCACAGGAGGTGTTGTCTCATTTAGAGTTGAAAGAGCCTATCAACTTACAACCTATCCGCAGCAGCGTTAAGTGATATTGATGCCACTTGGTGAATTCTGTTCACCGTCGGCCAGTGACATGACTCACTCTCGAACCTGCTGTCGTAGAGCTCAGCCTATACTCTCGCACATGCCTTTATCGGTTGAGCTTCTCAGGAGGCCCCCAAATGTTATTGATTTTAGCCAAGCTGATTCTGTCTTGTGGCCTTACAGAGGGTCTATGCCTTTTCTGCAAACATTCTGCAACAATAACTCAAGTGCTTTTGTTTTACAACCTGCAGGGAGATCTCTTTCTTGGATCAGGTTAAAATCACTCACAACTCGGATATTTTTATTGGCATCCATGGAGCTGGCCTTACGCACTTGCTGTTCCTCCCAGACTGGGCTGTTGTTTTCGAACTGTACGTAAGACATGCTCTTTTCCCGCAATAAAACCAGATATCGTCTCTTTTCCTATTTGCTCTTTTGTTCTTCTATATGATTTTTGTAAACATCTAGATTTTTGTCCATACTTCTTAACAAACAGACTTTTTTTTCAGCATCTGATGCGTGCCAGCATTTTGTAAGCAGCTGTAGAATTCTGCATAATTAAAGACAATTTACTCAGAACAGAAGAGTAAAGACTATTGTAATTGAAATCCCATAGTGGAAAATGACATGTGTTCTGTACATTGTAGTTATAACTGTCAGGATAAAAGCTGCTATCGAGACCTGGCCAGACTGCGTGGAATTCATTATATCACTTGGGAGAAGATGGACAAAGTTATTCCTCAAGACAAAGTAAGAAAATAATTATGTTATATTTCTCTTAAAACACAGCAGGATCACAACTGATGGCACACAGCATATGGATCTTATTCCCTTAAAAAATGCAATGCTTATTTATGTTTGTTTTATTGTCATATCATACTGTGACTTGCTTACATATTCCCTTTGAATTATTTTTTTACTAGTTGTAAAAAGATAAAACAATTTTCAATAGCACTTTCAGCTTCTGCAAATCACAGCTTTATATGGTACCTGGCCATGATTAAATACCAAAATTATGTATTCAAGAAAAGGGCAGTGTCAGGTGATTAAAGTGTTTTTTTACTCTTTTATACAGGGTCACCATCCTACACTGGGAGAACATCCGAAATTTACTAATTACTTCTTCGATGTTCAGGAGTTTATGCGCCTTGTTCTCCTAGCAGCAGAGCACGTGCAGCGTCACCCTGGGTGGCTGTCTAAACAAGATCACGACGAGCTGTAAGGGACGAAGGAAGAGAGTTGGAGTTATTTAAACAGGCACTTATGCATGTACACCCATTACACAGTGTACACACATGCACCTATAAACAGACCCAATTGGCTGCTAGTCTTGATAGTAGCTTATGAATGTCTGATGCAATGCACTCTTGTTTTGTTGTAATTTATGTGAGTCTGTGTGGAAGGGAGGTTGTGGGGACACTAGGAGGTGCTATTGTTTTTTAAAGGTAGGCCTATTGTAATATTCTGAAGTTACGTGCAGCCCCGCCTAATTCAGCCCTTTTGGTTTAGTTTTATAGTACTTGTTCTAATTTATCTGACTTGACTGAAAAGGTTACTTTTGTTACCAGTGTTTTATTTATTACATAGCTCTATACAGTTAGTCTAACTGTTCTGAGGCAGCTTATTACGTTATTTTCAAGGTCCTTAAAGGTTATACTTTATCAACCCATACAAACCTTCCATTGAAGACTTCAAAGGCTATAGTTCTTGTCATCATTTTCCTGACCTTGAGAAATAACACTATAACAGGATTTGGAAGTTATTTAAACCAAAAATTGGAACCCTGAGAAATGGAGGTGTATTGTACAACCCGTGACACATGCACACAATTCAGATGAACAGGAGAGCCTCAGTGTTCATTTCCATGCAGTTTGAACTGACTGTTTGAAAACCAAGGCTCAGCTTCTGTAGGCTTTTACCAGGATGTGACACTCTTGAGCTTTAAGGAGAGATGTCTGCATAGTAAATCTATAGATGTCACATCTCTTTAAAAAAAGACAAAAACACAGCAGTTATTAATCTCTGCATCACTGAAAAAAACGTGCCAGATTCTTATATATCTGTGCAGTTTCTTCTGTGCTACACAGCAGGTGGTGCTAAGAGTCTTATACCATGCCCAGCAGGAATGTTAAGGAATTTTGGGGGTCACACAGTGAAGCCAGTCTAATCCTCCTAGACAGTAATTTAAATAAAATCTACAGAACCTTAGACCTCATCATAGGCACAATTTTATATTACACTTTAAAACTTAAAGGGAAAGATGCTATATATGGAAAGTAATTCAATTCTCTTACCTAGAATACAAATAGCACATTGCTTTGCTTACGTTTTACAATAATTTTTCATTTATAAGCACTGTTCAACTCAAAGATCTGTGCAAAAGGATATGCGTAGTCCATGTGTAATATATAGAAAAGGTGAAAGACAACAAAAGCACAGGAAACTGACCTAATAAAAATAGGAGTTAGACCAAATTAGACATTTTTAGCTTTACTGAAAAGATAGGTATTCAAGGTAGGTTTCAGCAGTGGACAGTGCCAGAAATTCCAGTGGTTTTGGTCAGTGAGCTCCATATGAGGAGTGCTGTACACAAGAAGGCTCTGTTGCCCACATGTGGAGCCTATACAGTTAGCTCTTTGGTAGAATGATATCAGCAGATCTCAGATTAAGTGTTGGACACTTGCAATAACCCCTAAGATAAGACCATCAGCCCTGAAGCTATACCATTTAGTCACTGGGGCGTTCATGAGCAGGAGCTTCTACATTTTACATGGAGCCAGTGCAGTTTACACAAGATTGAAGTTATACAGTGATAGCACAGTTTTAGTTAACATATGAGCTGAGGAATTCTGGACAAGATGCAGACCATTGAGTGCCTGAAAGATATCCCAGTAAATAAGATTTTGTGATGTTAATGCTGGAACATATCAGTATAACCTCAGTCTTGTTAAAGATTAGCTTAAGAAAGTTCTGTCATATCCATACCTTAATGCCAGAGTGACTCCTGTAAAATGCAGGAACTACAGCAGTGTTATCTCATTTGGTGATTAATCTAACCAGGTGGCAAAATGCAAATACTTATAAAGATCCCAAAACAAAACCCTGATCCCAAAACAGGGAACACCCTGAATAACAACATTAGAAAACAGCCAAAACTTTCAAACTGGCCCCTATTAGCCAAACAGGAGCCAAATGAAGTGCCAGTGATACCTAACTAATATTCTGTATTCTTCAGAAGGACACTATGATTGTACACTGTCAAAAGCTGCACTTAAGTATAAAAGGAGAAAACTATTAAGTGACCCAGAATCAAAAGCCATCATTAACTGCCTCAAGCAAGGGCTGTTTCAGTACTATGTTTGTGTCCAATCTCTGGCAGTGAAGATTGAAAGAATTCATCAAACGCAGAACAAAATTGAATTAGGCTGTTACTGCCTGATTCAGATTTGTGAAAATAGGAAGATTGGAAGGATACCACTGAAGTACTTCAGTGTGATAACAGCAGATTCTACACCTGCAGGTAAAAGACTAGATTTCAGATACTCTTCTGTGCTACAATGTGCACCAAATGGACAAAGAGCAGAGAAGCTAGATCTGTGTGGGGCACAGGAACAGGGTCCATAACCCAGGTAGCTGGGGGTCATTTGAGCTACGCATAAGCAATATCAATATCTGTAAAATGAGAGAAACTCATGTCAGCGCAAGTAGGAGAAGGTAGAGTTGCCATGACTGCAGGAGGTGAGGTCAGCGAGTGGTTATTAATATTGTGTATCCTGTTGTGAAAGAATTGCATGAATGTGTTACACTGTTCCGGAGGAGGAGAAAGAGCAGGCTTATTAACTGGTTTGACTATGTTATTGTTAATGAATAAAAGAACTGTAGGATCACTGTATTCTTAATTTACATGTACCTAGATTTATTAAGTGTCAATTTTATTTACAATTGTTGCAGGCAATACATTTCAGAAAATACATATTTTTGTTTCGTGTAAACTTTTATAATGAAACAGTGTTTCACAAGACATTTTGTGTTGAAGATGAGGATTTTATTCTGCTGTTTCATTTCAAGGCCCTTTCCAATTCAAATCACTAGACATCTGTATTGTATTGGTTTTGTATGTCACAAAATTCACTACTGAAATTTGGTGACTAAATTGGAATGCAAGATGGTATTAATGGAGTCTTATAAAACTCATGTTTCTAAACAATAATATTGATCATAATTTTCCTGAGAAATCAACTATATTAAGAGATTCAAACTACAGTATTTTATCCTTAGAAACAAACCAGTGCACAGATTCCTTTTAAAAATAGGTTCTACCCGCAAATTAGAAACTCATTATTTAATAAAACTATATATAATAAACCATCAAGTTTCCTGGTTTGTAATTTGCGTTGACAAAACCTTAAAGGTAAAAAAAGGTAAACAATTGAATATATTGTAATGCTTGATAGCTTACCTGTAAGTTAACACCTTGTTAATGTGTCTACTTGTAAAACACTTCTTGTATTTTCAACAATTGTGAACTTTCTTGATTGAGGGAACTACTTATTACTTGATATTTTTATTTTTTAAGGCATAGACAAAAGTTTTTATGATGTAGTGATGTTGAATTATGTATCTTGTTGTGAAAGAATTGTTTCTATAATGCTGACATGTTTATATAATGTTGATATTTCTTTCTTTTTGTCCCAAATTGTGTGAAACAAATCTTATAACAAGCATTGTACTTAATTGAACTGCAATTAATTACAATGACATGCAGTCACGGTTAAATAAAAGGCTTTTTAAAGAATACAGAGAGACTGCAGAATACATCAGCATAAATGCCTGCATGTTTTTCTTTTTCTAAACATTTTCATGGAACAGTGGAGTTTTAAAGATGTTGCTTCTGTTATTGGGTTTAGGCTAATTCGGTTAGACAAGCCCTGAAATGTTAAAGAGCATACAGTAGCTATTACTGAAACCTTTATGTTTACCTCTTCATTTTGATTTATTTCGTTTATACAGTCATTTACAGTACATAAATGTGCAGATTCTTTCAAAACATAGTTTCTTTTTATCAGCTGTATAATTTTTATTTGTTTATATTTTTAAATCTACGAAAAGTAATTTTAATGCATTGTGCCGATTTTTTGGTTCATGCAAAAGTGTAATGTCTGAGCATACTGTATATTTCTTCTTAAAGGCTGTGCTGTTTTTTAATCCACCGAAACATTGCTTTTCCTGTATGTTTCAAGTGGAGGTCCTTGTTATTTCAGTCAGCGTTTAAAAGTGATTCGCTACTTCAAAAAAGGGGGGGGCATCTCCTTTTGTGATACTTGAAATATATAATTTCTGACGTTTTATGTGGAGTTATGTTTAGCCTGTGTGATTATTTCAAAAAAGGTGTGAATTTACTTTTTAAGTCCATTATAAAAATTGTTCTCTTCATTTTCATGTATGTTCAGAGGAGTATTTATACTCGCAACATTATGAGAGCCACTCCATCATATTTCAACTTTTAAGGAGAATGTTTGTAAAGAACTCTTTTGTAAACACAATGCTTTTGAAAAATAAATGTTGGCAAGATCACAATAAAAAGTTTGAAATTCAGTTGTTTGACGAAATACATTGGTGATTAAACTGAAGGTCATCACAAAACCTCAGGAGAAGAACCACAACAATTCATGCAAATCATGAGTGCTCTGGGCCTTTGTGTCATTAGCTCCCAGTGCTTGTCACTCTGAGACCTCTCCACCATCCCTAGCAACTCTTCAGTTTAAAATAGTGTTTCCAAATTCCTCATCTATGTAGACGTAGATGTTCTTCATAGACGTCATCCCTCAATCCAAATGATCAAGCATATCCATAAATGGTCTTTCTTTATTACACCCACATTATTGGTTCTTGTCAGTATCTTCTGAATGTAAATAATCTCCACTCAAAAGGTATAGTGCTTTGTCTTCAATCCATCAATTTTCCAGCTGCTTCATCCAATTCAGGGTCAGACGGGGGCCAGAGCCTAACCCTGCAAACAAGTGCAAGGCAGGATACACAGGGGACACCAGTCTATTGTACAGTAGGTCACACACTCATACCAGGGCCAGCTTCCCTAGAAAACAACTAATGTACTAGTATGTCTTTTGACTGTGAGAGGAAACCCACACAAACACAGCAAGAAGATACAAACTCCACACAGGTAGTACCCTGGAATTGAAATTGAATCTGGAACTGAACTCAGCACCCCAGTGCTGCAAAACAGCAATGCTCACCACTATCCCTCCATGCCATTCTTGTGTTCCATCTTATTTCTTCTAATTCTAACACAATAGTAGATGATACATCATTTTTATTTTTTACATTTTTTAAAAAACATCTACATTATTAGAGGGAATGGAGTTTGTAGTACCATTTATTCCAACCTTGTAGACATTACACCTCCTCTTTTAGATGGTGACAGTTCGGTTCTGAGTTACTGCCAATTTCTGACAACAGCAGTTTGCCTAATGTTTCACATTGCTGGAAAAATAGCATATTGCTTAAAACAAAAGGGCAGAGGATCAAGTCTTTTATTACCAGCGCTATAAATCTCGGTGACCTCATTAAACGCAGGACTTCTGTGCACATTCTACTACTAATATCTCTCCACTAGATGTCAGTAAAGGCCTATATATTGTTAAAGTTTTGTCAGAAAAATGGATACAGATACAGAGATACCTCATTTGCCAAGTGACACAGAGTCCACCAGACATTTGCCTCAGTGCTGCAGACAACTCAATATTTTAATGGAAAACCCTTTTTTAGAGTTAGCGTATCTGACTTAATTTGTGTACGTGTATTATCAGAACGTGTTATCATTTAGGATTTAATTATACTTCATATAACTAGTGTCAGTTCTCCATGTGCTAGTATTTGAAAGTATGTCTAACTAGCACCAAGGCACCACTTTATCAAGCAAGCTGTCTCATGATGACCTGTGCTCAGTACCTACGTGACCCCATGGCTCAGAGCCGATGTGGTGGAAACAAGACATCCTTGGAATACAGCTGCTTGTGATACAGTGAGTACTGAATATTTCCATAGCACATTTGCTGTCCAGTACATAATCCAGAGCTAATTACTGTCAAAATATCTGAAATAACATAACGGAGAACCAAAAACAAAATATCAGTTTAAGTTTCCCAAAATGGATTCTCATAGAGTGTAATCTAAAGTTATAGATGTACTGTATATATTCATGAAATGAAATTCAGCACACTTTTTTGATTTTTTGATAACCTTTGTCACCCCTTCGTAGTCCTTAGAATTTAAGATTCAATATTACTGTATATACTGTTTTAGACTCATCAAATATATATAAAGAAATCACCTGGGTCGATATCCAGTGAAAGCAAACCACTCTTAAGTGCATCAATGTATCAGGCTGTAGTATTTTCTTTGTGATGGATAAAACAAAATCCAAAATGAATATAATATCTTATATATAGATGCAACATTAAAATCAGGGTTATGAAATGAGAATTTGAAATTTTCATGTAATTTGCTTAACTGTGTTTTCTAACCTACTGTTTGCTAACAGGAAGGTGTACTTCAAACATGAAGCAGAAAAACTGTCTACATTTCCCTTTTTTCTCATAAAACTGCCCTGTGCATGTGTGGTGACAGACCAGGCGGGCATTTGTATCTGATAAACCGGCCTCAACTGTAAACAGGATTAGAGGTTGTGAAATGGTTTGAGATGGACTTTGATTGCCTTAACTGCATCCTGCCGTTCTTCTTAAATGCGAAGGAAACAATTAAAAGTTAAAAAATGAACATCTTGAGACTGTGAAATCAATCAACCTTACATCTGGTGAAGGAATACAATGCCACCGACACAAAGTTAGACCTGGTTTATGCATTAAGGTTTATTGAAAAGTGAAATCTACCCTGTTATCATAGATCCCACTATTTTACTCTGTATTCATGTCAGCTGTTGTAGTCCACATGTACTGTGTGTGGAATCCCTTATGCTGTATGCTGAAAATACATAAACCATCCATCTATTTTCCAACTGATTTATCAAATACAGGGACACAGGGGTGCTGGAATCTATCTCAGCAAGCAACAGGCTATAGGATACAGACATGCACACAGTCACACCAGGGCCAATTTTCCCAGAAGCCAGTTAACTTACGAGTATTTCTTTGGACTTTGGGACAAAACACACATTAACATGGGAGAACATATAAACTTCACACAGAGTTGAACCCACAGTCTCAGCATTGAGCGCCAGCAATGCTAGCCACTGTGCCATCATGACGCCTGTAGAGACTCTAGTGATAGTTTATTGTGCATTAAGCAACTTTGCTATGCAGCCTGAGGTGTGCAGTGATATACCCAGATGAGGTGCTTGTTCATTAAGTCTTCAAATTTTCTGTGTTTACAAGAAACTGCTCTGAGCCATTTTGAACTGGATATGAGTACAGAAATCCATTGCAATGCACAGACTCAGATAATTGAATAGTGGTCTGGAAGCACAGCACTAGCTTTTCCCTTTATTACAGTGAAAAGTGAAGTGTGTGTAGCATGTGAATTTAAGTAGCTTTTTCTTTTTTTGCTAAGATTGAAGTTTTTTTTTTAAAACGGCTTTCTTCATGAGTGAATAATCTTGTATTCAATTCAATGTAATTTTCATTATGCTTTTATGCAAAGTCATTAATCAGTCACATTTATTATTGTGCATGTGCTGTTTGGGTAACATTATTAGTATACAGCATTATCATCTTTAAGGGTTATGCTCTGCCAAGTTTTTTTCAAGAACGTTACATACAGTGTATAATTCAAATTCAACAATCACATGCAAAATAATCACATTGTGCCATTAAATTCTTCCAGTACCTTTGTAACAAGAGAAGTAGAATTCTTTGTAAGGATGTATAAAGTACATCTCAGTAAGGCATTTTGCTTCATATATATTAGATTAATCAATATCTAAAAAAAAGTTACTATCAGTTTCCTCTCCAGCTAAAGAGTTGCTCTGAAGAGTGCAGTGAACATTATTTATAAGTATTTTTCCTCATTAAAACCTGCTTCAGAAGAGTCAATGTGGGTGAAGCCAAGCTGCATTTCTTTTGGTATTTGTGTCCTTAGCTTTGAGTAATTGCTTGCCCTTTTAACTGTAAGATGTCTCACTGTGCAAATGCAGCATATCAGACAGCACTTTTTTATTTATTGTATGCATCTTGTTTGCAGAGTCCAGTTGAAGATTTTGTCCACCTGCTTCTCTTTTTTTTCTCTTTCCTCAGATGGCCCTAACCTAATTTAACTTCCAAAGGAAGGATTTCTCACCACTCAACAAAATAAATCAATTATGATATACTCATCTTGCCTTACAGTTTGAAAACAGATCTTCCAGTACAAGAGGCCTTTAATATAGCTCCGTGAGCATTCTTTGAGGGTAAATATGGAAATATTGATCAAATAAAAAATAATATTTTCCACATTATGACCAGATATCACCATAATATTTTCACTGTGGGAACAATTATAGAGTGAAATAGTCCCAGCAGGATTTTTGTAGCTCAATCTTTCTAGGAGAAAACACCCATGAACATTCCTTTCCTGTACTCAGATTTTCCTTATTCAGCAATACACTGGATATGTGAAAGACATTGCATTGGATTTTCTTGTGGGTAAAATTATACAAGGCTTTGGAAAATGTATAGATGCCTGGGCAATGGAAATAAACATTTGTCACTGTTATGGTTCTCTATATTTATATTTCATTTGGTCATGAAAATGATTAAGTGGGATAATTCAGATATTTTTCAATTAAAAAACAGATCTAAAACTAAGATGCTTTACACATACTGCAAAAATAAAGTTGTGACTAACACTTTGCCACAGAAAGTGCAATAAATCTCATTCTAGACCCTTTTCACGCCTGTCTGCAAAGTGAGATGAAAGGATATTTTTGTTGTTATTGTCTGTGGGCACAAAACCCATGGCAAGGAGAGGAGAGATGCAGTAACAGCTACTGTTTAAGTTCAATGTAAAGTAAGCAGAATGGGCAGCAAATTAGGATTAGTCCTTCAGTGACTTTTCATGAAGTCCACCATAAGCAGTTGAACGTGTGGCCTTTTTTTTAACTTCAGCTCTTCTTGACACATATATCCTGGTTATTCTATGGGCAAATACTTTTTGTTCATGAGGTTTTGATTACAGTAAAATGGACACATGTAAAAAAAATGATTTCATTCTGTTTTCCCTGTTTTGCACTGTCCAAGGTGCTGAACCCACACTATTTTAATCTTACTGCTGGTGGCTTGCAAGCCACTTATGAGAAATACAGCTATAAAATCTTCAAAAGACTTGCAGTGTAAGGCCACTTGTCTTATCTCCATTTCTGTATTCACGACTGGCTCCATCTGACTCATTGTAAGCACTGAGACTGAACCTTAACAATAATGTCTCATCTGCTCAGCCCACCTACGTATACATGAGGACAGAAAACACCCGCTTCATAAATATGACTTGGAGTTTGACCTGGGAAAAGCAATCCTGACTTTACTTTGGGACAAAAAAAAGATATTTAAATACACATTGCTTATACTGGCCTGGATAAGCTACATATGTTCATCTTATCTATTCAAAGCAGAAGCCTTAAGCTGAATATATTAAGAGAAGGAAAATGCTTGAAACTGTAACCTTTTTTTTATTGGCAAAGTCTTATGACCATCATTTGCTCATAATAGACTATTTTATTGCAACATTTTATTTCCCAAAAGTTGCAAGGTTCCTCGTTTATTTTATATGTTTCCTTAAGGACATATTTTTGTCTGCTGATGCTGAATGACTGCTGAAATTAACAGTGATTGGCTGGTTGTGAAGCAATTCACAATCAGGACTGACAAGTGCAACAGACAGAAGAAAGAGAGAAGATGAGCAATCCACTTTTACAGTTTAGGCCAGAATTTCCCTGCTGGTAAACTGTGGGCATATCACTGATCTAATTAATTAACTATGAAGAAAGCAGTTTGCCCACAGGGAAAATAAAGACTTAGTCTTTAACTTGTGAGCTTATGAGTTTCAGGTATTTCGTAGTATATACGGAACATTAAATGAAGTGAAGAGAGCTCTAACCTGGTTCATTGCAATATTTTTCCCATGAATGCACTTGCCTTATTCAAGTAGCTCACCACAAAAGGCACTTGCAAAATGTATTTCCACTTCATGCTTTCAGTTAATGCATTGCCTGTTTATTCTTTTGAGACTGAGAAATGGAGTGGATTTCTCTTGAAGACTGTTTTCAGACCAAATGTACATCTAAATGCTATTCTAGCTAATAGTGCCCTTAAAACTAGTTATAAAAAGTCCAGCATTGGTCTTCACAAGGTTGTTTGTGATAAATATTTTATTAGGTAAAGATCTGGACAGAAAGGGGGGTTTAATGTTGGAAATAAATCTCAATGTGGGATTTAATGTACAGTCATGGAGAACTTAACTGTTTTGGAGAGCTATTCCTTTCTTTTAATGAGCAGATTAGTATTACAATGTTGTTCTGAAAGGCCATTGATGTTCATGTTTTAAACCTCATGCAGACAACTAATTTTCTTCACATGTGTTTTTACACATGAATGAAAAACATGAACATTGCTTATGGGGGATCTATGAAAACCTTTAATGTATACAGTATACTGTACGTATCAATACATTATTTGAACAGGAACTTGATTGTGCTTCACATAAATTATTTTTACCAAGATTTCACTTGGTTTAAACAAGCTAATGTTAGTTTTTACAATTGTAAGATCCTTGTCTTGTTACATTTTATTAGCAGTACTGCTTTATTTGTTCAATACAAAAGCTAAACTTCAGTGGAAAATAAGTATATAGGAAGAACCTTTCCATTGTGTATCTATCTGACCAGAAATATTACTAAATTATTCTCCAAACCTACCTACAAGATAAAAGTGGTTTGAGACCTAGTAAATTTATTCATTTCAACATTTCTCTTAGAAACTCCTGTGCTGTCATTTGCAATGCTTCTGGGGTCCATTTGCTAAACTGTTTATCTTGAAAAAATGTTGTAATACCTTCTGGGAGTCTGAGCTAGATAAAACAGTTTACACAGCTGTTTTGGATAAATACTTGTGTAAATAAATTATAAAAAGTGAAACGTTGAGTTCAGTCACTGTACTAATGGCTTTGTTCAGTTTATGTACAGTAACAAACTGCATCAGTACTCTTTTGTATTATAGTTCCTATTTACAGGGCTTTACTACTTGTGCTTTTGAAAAAAATGCACATTCCTCACAGCCAGATGAAGCAGACAGCACTCAGAAAAGCAATGATCTAGTGTCCCATTTATATTCACCCCATGTCTTTCAGAATCTAGTTACTGGATTAGGTGCTGGGTGATGTTTTTGTATTTAGTTACATGACACGCTTTTCACAATCTTGTGAAACAATGAAAGAATGTGCATTTTTACAGTTTTCTTTTCTATTCATGTGAGATTGCTTTTTTAACACTTTAATTGATTTTAATTCATTTAGGACAGTTAAGATAGTATAAAGTATATAACAGCACTGACATTGCTAATGATTGTATTTCACACACTATCAAAATAAAGCCAGTAAAAAATACATATTTGTAAATTTAGGGAAAATTGAAGAGAATCTTGATGTGACACTGTCCAAATTATTTTTGATCTAAAGAGATTTGCTTAACATATTACAAGGTATTGAATTTGTAAATATTTCATTCTTTCCTTTCATTAATTCCTAGACCAAAACAAGACAATGACTCAAGTATTTAATGAAGGTCTGTGTCTGATGATATCTCTTACAAGTCAACTTCATATGCAACAAATTATTCATTTTATTGATTTTAAGACTGATATACCTTAAGAAAGAAAATTTGCAGATAGTAAACATCACTATCTCCAGACAATATATAAAATGGAAGACTGACGAGTTTAGAAACATTAAACACACACACACTGTTAGGGTACCTAAATAGAAACCAACAAACATGTTACTAACTAAATATGACAATGTGAGTAAAACACCAATGAGAGCAAAACCTCGTGGTTTACAAACATGGGGTAAACATCTGTAGTTTGCTTTGCTGTAGTAATGAATGAAATCCTGGTTAAAGAAGGAACAGATGGTTTTTGATGACGTTTTTTTAATGTCCGGAAAAATATTCCCACTTGATTCCCAAGCGGAGACCGTGCGCTGAACACTGGTTTACAGAGCTGCTTGTTCCTAATACATCGTTGTAGGCTCTGTCAGGTGTGCTGCTCACATAAGTATCTGTAAAATCAGTGTGCTGACCGTTCGGTGACACCACAAACTGGATACTCGCAGTATTCCGAGGCGGATGGAATAGAACGAATTTCATGAAACATTTTTGGAATGTGGTCGTCAAACAATTCCAGAAGAGTTTTTTTTTTTGGTTGTTAGTTTGAATCATGTATAAGTAAACGGAATCATCATTCACAGAACAAGCGAGAGCTACAGTAAATACAGTCTATTTGATCTGCAACAAATTTGGTATTATAATATTTAAACGGTCTGGTTTTAACCATTATTTTAATAGCGAAGCAATGAGGATCTTATTACTCTTTATGTGTTTTACTTGGCATAGTTTATAATTTTTACTTTTGACCAGTCTTATTTTCATTATACAAAGCAAATCTAGCACGATACCATCTTTGGGGAAAACAAACATTTATACGCGAGGGTTAATCTCTTTATAACATTGCAGTTCCTTTTTGTTTTAATCTCTACTCGATGTATTGTACATCTTCCTTCTTAATCCATGGATTATTTGTATACTGTAGATGTTTTGCTTTTGGGAAGTTACTTTGTTTCCTTGCCACGCGTACTGTACATATGCACTGTAATGCGAAAGTACTCGCACCCTTTTCACATATTTTCTTAAAGACGGTATTAAAAATAAAGTAAACTGCGATGTCATGAAAGCAGATGAAGTATATCAGCCAGATACTAATGAGCGATGACATCACTGAACAGGTTTGAAATATGGCAACGGGGCGGGAGCTCTGCACGTGTTCTGAATAGGGAGGGCAGGTTCACTTTCCCCCTGTCAAACCGCTCGCAGATGGCGAGGAGTGCGGGGTGTGCTACTACGGTTTCAAACATGACCATTACTCAGCTTCCCCTAAGATAGAGCGGATCTCAGAATTAGAGTTGGAGGAAAAGACACCTGCCAGTAACGGTCTACACGACCCCGGGACATCAGTCAAAGCATTTCTTATCTCCATTATAGGCTCTAATTCTGTCGTTGCTTGGATGTATTCACTTTGCGACTTTCTCCCCTTTTTTGTGGATTTAGTTTGTTTCGTGGAGGCCGCGCTATAATGACCAGAAGGTGTGCGCTACCTACTTTTATGAAATAAAGAAAGCGCCGATTTCGGACATTTAAGCACCTGCAGTTCTAGCCTTGCTGCCGCTTACAGAGGCGGTAATCGGGACGCCTGCAGTTCTTGGCCCTTATCCGCGATGGACTGGCAGGGTATGGCGTTACCCCGAAGACCTAAATTGAAATTAATGGCCTGAATAAAAAGTGACTTACTACCGTGACACTTCTGGATGCTAAAGTTGTCTTAGTGCAAATGAGAATGACTTCAATTTGATTAACCCAGGTAAGGTGATGTATAGCATACTTATTTAATTATTGGTTAATCTATTGCTGAATGCCTGCTTTTTTATTTTTCAGAGGTGCGCTTCTGGCTTGGAGGTTCTAGCGCGTAAGCAACATTGATTGGCGATTATGCTTGTTTGGCTGAAAGGATTTGCAGTGTCTGAAACAGCACCTTCAGGCAACCGAATGTGCAATGCCGCTTTTGAATTAACATGATTTTAGAAAACTTAAAGTACCACGCTGAATGAGGTTTAATGTTCCATTCTTGCACTACAAGAACGGCAGACTAATTTCACTGAATTGGGCTTCATACGAGCAATTAAATCGTAGCTACTACTCCCTGCTAAAATCGCAGCTAATTCACAAATAGTGACTTAAAATTCTAAGAGCTGTCTCTGGTTTTCCAAAAACATCGAAGGCAAGACTGTCTTTTTTCAGTGCACTAACTGCTTAAAATTCCTTCCAACTCGCGGGATTGTATTTGTAAAAGGAATGAAGTACAGCGGGTTTAAGTTCTCCAGCTGCCGAGAGCCAGACGCACTGTTACTGTAGGATATGTACAGAAGAAAGTAAGAGGAGTGCCTCGGCGAGACACTGGGACATTGATTGTTGCAGAGGGTTAAACAGACAATCGTTCGGGGTTCGGTACGCCTGAACTTCTATTGAGTGGTCTACAGCCTTGATCCGCTGATGAAGCTGTTCTTTACTTGGTTTTAATCACGTTGTATGGATTGTCATTGAGCAGGAGATCCAACGAATAAAATGCCTTAGAGGTAACACAAAGGTTTCGAACACAATAGGTATTGAGATAGCCATTGCCCTGGGAGAAACATAATGGATGAGTTGATAACAGCACACTATACTGTACGTTACTTTTTCTTCTCAGCTACACAATAACGCCATCGCTAATTTTAGTAAATCATTTCTGCCAGTTTAACTCATTCTTGATAAAGTGATCAGGTGTATTTTAACTATATCCGCCATGCTGGGTCTAGTTCTTACTAAATATCCGCTGTTCGAAAAGTTTGAAGTATTGTGTTATTGTCTTTCTCACTCTTATGGAAAAACCCAAAATAAAACCAAAGCACACAGCCCGTAAAACGCAAGCATTCCTGACCATGAACTTATTTCACGCTACGATATAATGGTTTAAAAAGAAGAAAGGGGTATCTTCTCTGTGGAAGGATTTTGCTGACTTAATTCTCATTGACGGGCACAATTTCAGTGTAACAGAACTGTTAATCCTGCAGAGATGACTTTACCACTTTCAAATACTCCAGCAGGACCTCTACCCTTTAACAGGGTGCCTGACGGCTGCAATTTCCCTTTGAGGTTTGCTTTGAATAAAAAAAAAGGCTTCCCCAAATACTTGAAACAGCTGCCGCTGGTCTTTTAACAAATTTCACTGCCCTTGTTTCGGTCAGACTGAGATTTAACGCTGATATTAACTGAGACTAGATAGTGCGTGCCAGCGCATATTTTCAAAGAGCTAGGAAATTAGTAGCTGTGAGAGGAAATTCTTTTTTGCTACATTAGTCATACTTATTTCATGGTACACCGTTCCCCCTCCCCCGGTTGATGAAATATTTTTAAACGAATTATCATGAAGACCAATGTATATTTCTGACAATTCTGATAATTCAGATGAAATCTGCCTTTCATTGTGCACAATTTAAAAAAGGCTCCAGAGCTAACAGGTCTAAGAATGGGTCATGTTTTTTCATTGGTATTAGTAGCTTTATGCTGGGCTTCTGTGATTGATATGTCAAGGTTACAAGGCAGAACCTTACTGAATTGAAGCACTAGAGTCATGTATCTGTAATGAAAATTTAAAGCCATATTCCTGGAGCTCCTGACAGTCATTTTATTATTACACCGAATTGTTATTTGGAATAATGCAGCTGTGACACTGTGTGTAATCTCTGAGTAGTCTGCTTTTCATATCAGAGATAGTGTGCCCTGTCAGGTACAGCGAGGACAAATATTTCCGCCTTCTCCATTTCAAAGCAACTAAAGGAGCTATTAGACATTAAGATTAAACTATTAAACACCCAGAGCACATACTTCACTGAATTCACTTATTTTAAAAAGCCTTTTAATGTCCTTCCTCTGGATATTGCAATCTTAGATTGCCTTTTTCACAGAGTTGTTGGCTCAGTATATTATTGTGATTATGTGGTGTTCTGGAGCTCATTCTGTATTTTATTTTTTCACAGACTGTAACTTTCCTCAGTAAGATAGAATGAGCAAGAAAAATGTTTATTGTGTGTGGGGAAAACGAAGTTTGTACATTTCAAGGACTCTGATGGCCTTCCCAACAAAACCCGCATTTGTAAAATAAGCAAGAATGCCTTAGACCCCAAATCGACTGCATGAATTAACCCATATGTGCAATGCTCAGTATTATAAAACTAATTTTGCAACAGATTCTATTAGTAGTTTGTACAACATTATGTATGCCTGTGACAGCTTCTCACTTTGGTGAATTTTCTTGGTACATTTACTTATAGACTTTGATGGAGACCAGATGGTGTCGAAGAAATGTTTGCCTCACTTGATTCTCTTGACAAGCATTTCACTCATGAAATTTGGAAAAAAAAGATTGGATTTTGCAGCAGTGTTTTTTCCCCACACTGTATCCTGAATAAAATCAAATTTGTATTATTAGCTTTGCCAGCTGGTCATATTGGACAGACTGTGGTTTTTCAAAACAGGCTTGTTTATCTCATTTTATTTTTTATGGCTTTGCACACTTTGGTGAGTTTATTATACAACATTAGTGTGTACTTAATTTTTGTTTTTGTTGTTTCTCAGAGCAAAGCTAAACCTTTCTGAGGGCGCACCTAATATGATCGATATGGAAGTTGAGCTTCTCCTCTAAATTTGTTTGTGGAAGAATTAGTAAAAGGCTGCTCTAGCACTCCAGAAAGAATATAATTCAGATTCCAGGGTGATATTTTCACGTCAAAAGAAGAAGGCTCAGCCACTCGATCATATGTAATCCATAAGTATGGACTGCATAAAACCTTATAGTTAGTGAAATTTAATGTTTCATTTAAGGCTGACCTTTTCTGTATTTCTGGAAATGTCACTATAATCGGTCTTCGTGCAAAAATGGCAAACTAATATAAAAACAGTCTAAAACCTGATGGAACTTCCCTTTGACATTGAAATGCATCGTAACCCATTTGTCTGAAAGCTGTAGCCGTTTCTCAACAGTAAGAAATGTGAATTCAGATCTTGAACATTCAGAAAGCACTTGGCCATTAACATCAATGAGAGGGTTAAAGAACTGGTAGTTGTTGGCTGATGGGTTGCATCTGTGGGTAAAGATGTTCAAGAGACGCAGATAAAAATTAATTCACGTATTGACAGCTCTGACACGTCTCAGTGACTTTATAAAATTAACAATTGATCAGTCTTTTTGGGCACTACTCCTTTGCATGCACCACACGTTCTGTCATTAATATAATTACAGGGTAGAAGGCTTCGAAGATGATCATTAGCAGCAAGAGGCCTAAGATAATCAAGATGTTAATTCATTCCTTGTGTGGGTGTTATGATGGGTCTGGGGGAAAATTCAGTCCACTTTTACCATGATTCATATTGATTGTCGCAATCCATAAATAAACACGATTTAACAAGGTTATGGATGGGTGATCTGATAATCCCACTGTATTTGTCAGCAGAAAAGATTTGGGGATTAACCAGGCTTCTTCTGAAACCCACCACTGAAAGAGACATTTATTAAAGTATCAATGAAAACCAACAGAATATAAGATAATGCTTGTTTACTCACAGTTAATCTCCACTTTGCAATTAATGATGCAAATTTATCATTACAAGAGTTTGTGTTTTTCACTCCATTTGCGTTGGGTTCCTCATCCATTTTTTTTTCAGATAGGATAAAGAAATTAAATAAAAATTGGCAGGCATTTAGATGAATGATGACTAATAACCATTTTGGGTTCTGAAAATGGGTTATTCCAACATGGATTAGACTCTTGGTTTGAAAGGTGTTCTTGTACTGTATATAGCATCCGGTGAAATAATCTCCCTTTCAGTGCACACACACACAGAATGTGTCCTAAATTCAAAATAAACGTACAGTAATTACACCAAACCACCCTCAGTGAAACAGTGATTTTGATTTTGTTCATGATATGATACCAAGCTGAAGGCAATACTATTATGATGAGTCTTTTCTGATGCACAGCAGTTCTCCAGTAAACGGAAAGCGCAGCTGGACTGTTATGAGAAAGCTACCGTATCTGTTTTCAGCATTATTAATAGCATGGCACACAATGGAAATAAAAAGGGTCTGCTTAGCAGCAGGTTTAGCCTGAATCCATTTCATGGTCAGGCTCAAGGAGGACTTTGAAAAGCAGCGTAAAAAAGTTCAGCGTGTTCCATTCTTTGACCCCAATTACACTCTGCTTTATACTAATTATTTTAATCAGCTCCATGATTTATTGTGCCCAGATTGATCTCTTCTGAAGAGGCACTGAAGTTTCTGGAAACAAAAGAAGTCTTTCAAATTGTTGTTGGGGTTTGGTTTGTACAAATTATCTGCCTTTCATAGGTCTTCTGTATAGGCCCGGGAGGAGACTTGAATGCATCTTACTTGGGATAGGTTTTCTATTGAAAAACAGGAAATATACAGAGTAACACGTACATAAGTTATTGGGTGGCATTTGATTTGTGTTCACTCTTGTAACTGTCAAAGTTTAAATTTATAAATCATAAACATTTGTCCCCTAATTATATATACCTAGGGTTCGAATAAATCAGTACTACAACTTATGTTCCTGCAGAGATTTATACAACATGTAAAGTAACAGTAGTAACTTTATAGTAGTAACAAATTCAGATTATGTCATAATTTATCAGCACAGTGCTTTGTTCCTCTCTTTACAATGGGAGACCTGTTAAGTGAAGTTGTTTCCTTAAATCCCACAAATATATTTTGTTGTCAAAACTGGATATGGATCATTTCTAACC